GCTGAACCCACAAAGAACTTTTCAGAGAAAACGGAGACTCTCAAACACTGCAGCCTTCTGCATTGCCCAGATTGTCACAAGGGCTGTGCTCCCGGTTTCAAATCCGGGTACTCTCTTGACCTATGTTAACAGATCCCGAAGTACCAAACCAAAAGCGCCAAGAACAATGGGAAGTTGGATGACTTTGTGCTGATAGGGTGCAAGCAGAACATTTCAAATGCGAGGTCTGCATACTTGGTATGTTTCTCCTGGGTCTTGTCAATCACACTGCTGTCAAAAGGGACAGAGCATTAAATAATTTAATTGGATCTATCAAACTGAACAAGATCAGGCTTGTTAGCTTCCATCGTATGAAGGCTGTATATGGGCGTATTCCGTAAAGGTTTGAAGCTATCATTTTCCATGATGCCATGAACATGTACTGGGTCATACCAAGACAGAACATCAGAGTCAAGTTTGCCAGGAATGATAATAAAATGAACGAGCCACTCCATCATGTCTCTTTTAAATAAGGTGTTTGTGCCAAAGCAGGGCAACCACTACAACATGTTGGACAGCCTTATTATTATTATTATTATGATCATTATTATTAGTTGTAGTAGTACGTCTTTTGCAGCCTAGAATCAATTGTATGAAAATAAGCACGCGACAGGGCCAATGATGAGCATTATCACTAGTCAATCTGTCAGTGCTGTACATATACGAAATAGAATACTGTTCAAAAACCTGTTGACCCTTTCTTCATATTTAATGTCAGACCTTGTCCAATGTTGTTATGGCTAGACATATTCAAATAGTTGTGTTGCTATGGTAACACAATAAAAGCAATGAAAAGTTAATTATGTACTGACAGTCCTAGAGGATGCAATGCAAGATAAACAAAAGTGACTAAACCTCCTTCATAAACAACAATCCCCCATGGAGAGCCCGCCCTGCAGTTAACGAGAGTGTTTATCTGTACTCCTTGAGCTTGTCAAGCATACTGTATCACTGCATCAGCACCCTGCCCATTTGCCAGCAATCTTTTCCTATCCTGATACATGCTGCTCGTTCCGTCCGTATTTAGTGTCAACACACCCTTCAGTAAATTGCTTATTTGCATTAGAAATATATTACCAGACTTTAAAGGCCACTTCCCTTAGATTAAAGGCTATGAGATGTTCCATAACTTAACACAGGTAAATGTCTTGGCGATTTTTTTTTTGTTTTGTTTTAAATGACCCACCAAAAAGGCTGAATGTCAAAAAATAACACTGATGAGATGAAAGGAAGATTAAAACGAAATACTGTAACATCTTTGATCAAATTTTAAGACTTTTTAAAATCAAGTATTTGGCCCTGGAACCTTCTAGTTCTGTGGTCCTCATACATGAAGGTATGCCATGGCGTGCACATGTACGGCTGCCGATGTAATTGGTTCCCTGTAAATTTTGATGATGTGACTGCTGACCAAAGTAGCAGGATAAGTGTTTCAGGCAATATCATCTGCTCACATTTGGTCTAATGCTTCAGAACTCATTTGACAGCGCTTCACAGTGCAGACGGACAATGACCTGAAGCATACTGTGCAAGCAACCAAAGAGTTTTTTGAGGCAAAGAAGGGAATGTTATGCAATGACCAAGTCAAATCACCTGATCTTATCCCGATTGAGAATGCAATTCACTTGCTGAAGACAAGACTGAAGCCAAAATGGCTCAAGAACAAGCAACAACCGCAGATGGTTGCAGTTGTTATGATTCTGTTTGGTTACGTTTGGTTTTGTTCCCTCATGTGCCCTTTTTGTCGCCACCTGTTCTCGTCATCAGTGTCCCTTGTGTTTAACCCGGGGGTCGGCAACACGCGGCTCCCGAGCCGCATGCGGCTCTTTAGCGCTTCCTAGTGGCTCCCTTTTTAAAATGTTTGAAAATGGAAAAAGATGGGGAAGTGAAAATATATTTTTTGTTTGAATATGGTTTCTGTAAGAGGACAAACATTCTTAACATTTTCCAATGCTATAAAAATATGCCGAATAAATATTACATTTCAACATTTCTGTCAATGGAGATTTGCGTCATAGCCTGCGACACACGTTTCTATTAGCAGAGCGGGATGCCAGGCAGGTGGCTGTTGTAAGAAGAAACAGCGTTTCATGTCCAATTCACCGAGGGAACCGGCAAAGAATGGCAATCTGAAGGACCGAGAGAAGCATTTTAAAACGGTACACGTGAGCTATGAAAGTTAACACGCTGCAAAAGTGCGTCCCGTCCCTCATTCATCTTAGCCGCCGTTATGGCTGTTGCTCATTATGGCATGCGTGTGTAAGTGCGTGCGTTTGCATGCGTAAGTGCGTGCGTTTGCGTGCATGTGCGGTCACGGGTCGATCTCGGGAGGCTGGTTGATCGAAAAATAGAGCTTTGGTCAAAAAAGGTTGGGCCCCCCTGCTCTACAGGATGCACTGCAGAGAAAAAAAAACATTTAATCGGGAAGGCTCATTGTGTATTTGTAGCCAAATTAGTCATTTTGATAGTAGGCTAACATAGCTAATATAGATACATACAGCGTGAGTGGCCTTCTTTCTGAGGCTTTTCATTTGTCGCGGCTCCAGACACATTTGTTTTTCGTTTTTCTGGTCCAATATGGCTCTTTCAACATTTTGGGTTGCCAACCCCTGGTTTAACCAATCAGCTCCCTCAACCCTTTGTGTCTTGTCCAGGTGTTTCTCGTTTTCTAGTCACTTTGCTTGTATTTAGTTCCCTGAGTTCTGGCAGTCTTTGTTGGGTCATTATGAGTTGTGAGTATGTGAGTGTCTGTGCGCTCCGCTCCTATCACGTTTTATTTTCTGTCACAGGTTTCTTTTGTTACTTTGGCTCCTTGTGATTTCCAGGACTTTGTTTGAGCGATTGTAGCTAGTTAGTAATTTTCCAGTGTACTCCTGTTTGTATTTTTGTTTAATACATCTTGGTCAGTTCCACCTTGCCTCATTGCTTTTTGGGGTCATCCAACAACTCCACCATCATGCAAAACGTGACAGCAGTGAAGGACTTGCTGCACAGGGATGAAATCTAGCGTCTGGTGAGGATGATGCGCTCCAGAATACATGCTGAAATTGACTGCAAAGGATTTGCAAAAAAGTCTTCAAAAGTGAATGTTTGATTTATGACTGTTCCCTTTACACAAACTGTTAAACTCCCTTTGCCATTCACTAGATTTGGATGTAAACCCTCAAATTAAAGCTGAAAGTCTGCAGTTTGAAGCCTATCCTGTTCATTTCATTTCAAATCAATGGTGGTGTTTGCAGCCCTAAACAATACTTATGGACCTGTCTGTAACAGTCGTTCAACCAGCTAGACGGGGATTGAGCAATGTCAGTGTTAAATGTCCGTGTTGACCTTTTCCTGGCTGCGAGAGCCTCACAGGCATCAAACATCTGCATCTCTTTATCTCCATCTCTCATTACCATCACCCCCCTCCCCCTCCATGGTCTCTGGATGTTTGTTGTTAGCTTCCTGTCACAGAGGAAGTGCCTCACCCTGCCGCCTCGCTCGCTATTGGTCCCTTCTCTGATCAACTGTGATTTTGACCCAGTGAGGGGGGGCTTACAAGATTGAAAAGGGTTTGAGAAAGGCAGAAGGAGGCTGCACTGAATACTTCTCGGCTTTACTGCCTGTTGGGCTTGGAGGTAAGAAGGCCATTCGTAACTTTCCCCACTAGAAAACTCACTGTGAACTCTGTTTCTAATGTTTAATGCCGATAGATCAGCTGAAACATACTGCACTTGTGAAATTGTCATACCATCTGCTGCATATGTGTAATTATGTATGTTTGCCTAAGTGTATTTTACAGAAAAGGTGTGGTTAACCTATTTGCCATACATACTTACAGTGTGGACATAATGCATATACTGTACAGGTACTTTGATTGGTTTAGTTTTCTTTTTAAAAAGCACTTTAGTTTTACAATGCAGAATGGCAACTGATTGACCTCCCAGTGTGGAACAGTCTCATTTTATAATGTGCTGTTTGTAACTATATATATATATATAATAAATATTTGATCCCTTTTACCTGATGTTTTGTAACTATATATATATATATAATAAATAATTGCAATCCCTTACCTGATGTGTTCTAGCATAGGAGTCTTCAGATTTCTTGGTGTGGCTACTCCCAATCCTTGTACCAGTGTCTTGATTCCACACGGACGCTGGACTGGTTTGGGGGGAGTTGTTCCAAGTAATAACGGCTGGAAATTTATTGCTCCGTTCCTTAGAAACTAAATCCATTACATGGCCAAAATGATGTTTTAGTCTTGATTTTATGTGACAGGTGAATGGAGTCATCGTTGTCGTCGTCATCATAGTACTGTATAATTTGTGGAAGTAAATAAACAAAAGAGGAATGTGAAGACAAAATCATGTTCCTTTTGCGAGGTGGATGTCTCTCTTCTGTCATAGATGTGAACAAGGTCAAATACAGGAAGCCTATTCTTGATCAAATTGTAATACAAGCACATTTTTGATGGGAAATGGGTTGCCAACCCCTGGTTTAACCAATCAGCTCCCTCAACCCTTTGTGTCTTGTCCAGGTGTTTCTCGTTTTCTAGTCACTTTGCTTGTATTTAGTTCCCTGAGTTCTGGCAGTCTTTGTTGGGTCATTATGAGTTGTGAGTATGTGAGTGTCTGTGCGCTCCGCTCCTATCACGTTTTATTTTCTGTCACAGGTTTCTTTTGTTACTTTGGCTCCTTGTGATTTCCAGGACTTTGTTTGAGCGATTGTAGCTAGTTAGTAATTTTCCAGTGTACTCCTGTTTGTATTTTTGTTTAATACATCTTGGTCAGTTCCACCTTGCCTCATTGCTTTTTGGGGTCATCCAACAACTCCACCATCATGCAAAACGTGACAGCAGTGAAGGACTTGCTGCACAGGGATGAAATCTAGCGTCTGGTGAGGATGATGCGCTCCAGAATACATGCTGAAATTGACTGCAAAGGATTTGCAAAAAAGTCTTCAAAAGTGAATGTTTGATTTATGACTGTTCCCTTTACACAAACTGTTAAACTCCCTTTGCCATTCACTAGATTTGGATGTAAACCCTCAAATTAAAGCTGAAAGTCTGCAGTTTGAAGCCTATCCTGTTCATTTCATTTCAAATCAATGGTGGTGTTTGCAGCCCTAAACAATACTTATGGACCTGTCTGTAACAGTCGTTCAACCAGCTAGACGGGGATTGAGCAATGTCAGTGTTAAATGTCCGTGTTGACCTTTTCCTGGCTGCGAGAGCCTCACAGGCATCAAACATCTGCATCTCTTTATCTCCATCTCTCATTACCATCACCCCCCTCCCCCTCCATGGTCTCTGGATGTTTGTTGTTAGCTTCCTGTCACAGAGGAAGTGCCTCACCCTGCCGCCTCGCTCGCTATTGGTCCCTTCTCTGATCAACTGTGATTTTGACCCAGTGAGGGGGGGCTTACAAGATTGAAAAGGGTTTGAGAAAGGCAGAAGGAGGCTGCACTGAATACTTCTCGGCTTTACTGCCTGTTGGGCTTGGAGGTAAGAAGGCCATTCGTAACTTTCCCCACTAGAAAACTCACTGTGAACTCTGTTTCTAATGTTTAATGCCGATAGATCAGCTGAAACATACTGCACTTGTGAAATTGTCATACCATCTGCTGCATATGTGTAATTATGTATGTTTGCCTAAGTGTATTTTACAGAAAAGGTGTGGTTAACCTATTTGCCATACATACTTACAGTGTGGACATAATGCATATACTGTACAGGTACTTTGATTGGTTTAGTTTTCTTTTTAAAAAGCACTTTAGTTTTACAATGCAGAATGGCAACTGATTGACCTCCCAGTGTGGAACAGTCTCATTTTATAATGTGCTGTTTGTAACTATATATATATATAATAAATAATTGCAATCCCTTACCTGATGTGTTCTAGCATAGGAGTCTTCAGATTTCTTGGTGTGGCTACTCCCAATCCTTGTACCAGTGTCTTGATTCCACACGGACGCTGGACTGGTTTGGGGGGAGTTGTTCCAAGTAATAACGGCTGGAAATTTATTGCTCCGTTCCTTAGAAACTAAATCCATTACATGGCCAAAATGATGTTTTAGTCTTGATTTTATGTGACAGGTGAATGGAGTCATCGTTGTCGTCGTCATCATAGTACTGTATAATTTGTGGAAGTAAATAAACAAAAGAGGAATGTGAAGACAAAATCATGTTCCTTTTGCGAGGTGGATGTCTCTCTTCTGTCATAGATGTGAACAAGGTCAAATACAGGAAGCCTATTCTTGATCAAATTGTAATACAAGCACATTTTTGATGGGAAATGTGAGCGAGCAATAAAAACATTCTAATTTTCGTGTGTGTGGTCTATTTTCATTACAGAAACTGCATTTAATGTGTTGGTTCTCAAGCCAGTAGTTTCAAAACCCTTGCTTTGAGCTTGACAAAAAAGGCTGACAAATCTGCATTAAAATGCACATGTTTTGGGGGCCAGAGTCAAATAAAAATGGATATAGTTAAAATTGGATCTACAGTGTTGTTAATGTGGGTTTTGGTTCTTACCCAGTGAAAGTGAGAATCTGAGTGTAAATAGCTGTATTCCTCCATATGTGCACTGATTGAATGCCGACCAATGTGGGGAACCAAGCCTTTTTTCAAGCCAGCTCAAACGTTTTTGCAGGTACAGTACAAAGATAAAGAGCGAGGGTTGGAGCCAGGAAAAGACAAAGGGCTGTATAGAAGGGGAAAAAAAGATGCCAAAACTAATAAGGAGTCTTACACAAATGGTAGAGCATTTCAAAGAGGACTAATGATGGACCATCAGTCCAGGTTCGCTCAAAGTCAGCTGGAAAAGGCTTCTGCTCCCCATGACATTGAACAGAATAAATGGATAGAAATTGAATTGATACCATTGAGGTGTGTGAGATGGAAGGCCAACATTTTATTAACATAAACATTCATTGTGATACACCACCCACCCACCCCCTTTTTATAGAAAAATATTTTATATTTAAAAAAAAAATTCATCCATCCATCCATTTTGTTATGCACTTTTCCTCACAAGGGTCACGGGCGTGCTGGAGCCTAACCCAGTTGACCTCGGGCAGTAGGCAGGGTACACCCTCAAATGGTGGCAGGCCAGTCGCAGAACACACATGGACGAACAACCATTTGCACTCACAATCACACCCAAGATGGCGATTTGATTGTTCCATTAACCTGCCAAGCATGTTTTTGGAATGTGGAAGGAAACTTGAGTCCCTGGAGAAAACCCACGCAGGCACGGGCAGAACATGCAAACTCCACACAGGAAAGTTGGATCCAGAATCGAACCCTGCACTTCTATACTGTGAGGCGGACGTGCTCACTGTGCCACCTTATCTAAAAAATATTTACATCATTCAATAATAAATTTTAGGAAATTGAATTTGCCAATTATAAGACTGTGTGGTAGCCTATACACACACACGCACGCACGCATTCACACATGCACACACACACACACACACACACACACACACAAACACACGCACAAATCAATCAGCGCTTGGATTGACTTTTCAGTCACTGGCCGATGGCCACAACACAGCCCAACATGACTGCATGAGATGTGATGCAAAATATATACAGTTCATCCCAAATTTTGCCTGGAGTTAGATTATTTTTTCTCTCCTTCATCTCTCACCCCCATGAAATTTAAAATAATTTATTCCTAAAATACAGAAACAACCACTTGATGTGTAGATTATTGGTGCGCTGAGCCAAATGTAACTGCAGATGTTGCCGAAGTAATTCCTAAATATCATTTGAAAATACCTCCTGAACACTCCCTAAAATGGCTTTTGCTTCTTTGATGTCTCAGCAATTTGGTGATCATCTTACATGTGGAATACTACAGATAACATAAGTTATAGATCATTATTTTTGTATAATTTTGTTGATGACTTCCTTGGAATTGTTCAGCTAGATGGTTTAAACACAGACATTTTAAACAGTAGGTATTATACTTAAGTTATAGGTTGTGTCTCTCACAGGTAGTGAACCCTGTTGCTAAAACATTTTTAGATATTCTAATCAAGAGGAATAGAAAAAAGGTAAGCTCCATGGCTCAGGCGAAACGGCATCATAAATGTAATGACTCAGACCTGTGGTACAGTAAGTCATTGCTTCTGCTTTTTTTAACACTGTTAGTCCATATTATTAGAAAAACACACCAATATCAAACTTGAAAAAAAAATATAACATTCACATTGATTTACACCTGTTACTTGCAACCTGCAGAGTAATAATAAAATACAAATTGTATTCAAATGAAATTTGAAGGATTTATTCAACAATATTTTTTAAATTCATAGCTTCCCATATGTTTTTCTTGTGCCTGAATACTGTATCTGTATCAGGGCTGTGTCAAACATAGCAATGGATATAGCATGACACATCTCCCAAAAAAGTGTACCATTGATGGTGGAGATTAATCAGTCCAATGATATGGTTTATGACCTGTTCATTTTAGAATCATAACAACGAACTATTAATCAAAAGTTCCAATTTTTCCAAAAATGGTGGTGCCTAAATTGTCCTCCAATTCTGGAATGATTCAAGTACATTTCAGAGTTTGTCTTTTTCACGTTCACTGATGTCAAATGAGTTATATCTATTATTCTCCTTTGATAAAGGTTTATTATAATCATTTCCTGATAAATATACACATGTTTATTTTGCCGCTTCTGTCATCTTGTAAATCAGGGGTCACCACCGTGGTGCCCGCGGGCATGAGTAGTCCATGGGCCTATCCAAAATAGCTCGCCGGTGATGAGATATTGTGACTCTCCAGGAATATTGGAGAAGCGATCATTTCAAAATGTGAACACTGGCAGATATTTTTCATAAAGTGTGGCCAATTGATACTTATGTTATTTGTGTAATTGTGAGAAATCGCTAATGTGATCAGTGTATTCTCAGAAATGAACATCATTAATCATTAATTATAACATATGAAGGTTCGAGCAAATTTACTTAAAAAGTGCATACTCTCAAACTGGTAGCCCTCCGCAATAATCAGAAGCCGAGAAGGAACTCTTAGGATCAAAAAGGTTGGTGACCCCTGTTGAAAAGTGTGGACGAGTGCCTGCTCACAAAATGTCAGGAGAGCCAAGGAGGACATCGAGTGGCACACCGGGACAACTACGTCGACAGTAGCATGGAACTCATTGGGACGTCGTGGGACGCTTCACTCTAGGCCCCGCCCCCTCGCGGTTCGGCGTACGATCAAATCTGTAAGCGCTGGTAAGTGGAGAGTATTGACCGCTCAAATCTCTACACCGATTCGGGAACACCAACTCACGAAGGTACGAATACTCACACCTCTGACGCATGTTTATTCTGCCCATCACTTTAACAGTTCCAGAGACGTTTAGTAAATTCTGTGTCGACTTTAAAGTGTCACCCAGGTAGCTTGTATGGTAAATGCACGCCGTGTACGGTGAGAGGTTGTATCTCCATTCTGACTGAAAGGTAGTTGTATACAGCGTTGGGATGATTTTTAAATCGTTTAGTCATTTTACAATTTAACGATGGTAAACTTGATTTCGTTTTACTTGGCGGCGTCACATCGGTTCCCTCCGGGAACTTTTCTCGCGAGACCGCGCTCGACCGAAACCGGCATTTTAAAATGTTACATTGTCGTTTATTACATTTTATAAAAGTCATTGAGTTGTCTCAAGTTGCCAGACGCAGTGGTACGGAGACAAAGCGATAATTGTGAAAAGTGTACAAGTGCTCACAGTAAAGTTGAAAAAAAATACATTAAAAAAAAAGAGCTTACAGTGACGTCACTGTGTTTTTCAGTCGCGCCATGGTCGGAATAGTGTTGTGGCGCCGAGCATTCAACATATTTATTTGATTTTGATTAAGTTGAATAATATACGGTGTATGTGCGCTACTCATAGAGAGGCATTTTACAGGAGAGAACAAAAATACCGACAGACAAGACAGCGACAGTTAAGAGAGACTCGTTGGTAACACAGATATCAACCAAACAAACGGAGAGAACGAGAATGAAAGGGTGGGGTGATGCATTGTGGGAATCCCCAAGAGTTTCCTTTAGGCCAGTTTTTCTCAACAATTAAGAAGACATATCACATATTTTACATTTGAAAAATCTCATGGCACACACCACCACATAAAAATGTTTCCCAAAGGAGGACTATATCTCGTGCACTTAAGATGATCTATTCTAAATGTACTCACTGGCAACCAGGTAAGGGTGTATCCCGCCTACTGCTGGAAGACAGCTGGGATAGGCTCCAGCACGCCTGTGAGAATAAGCGGGATCGAAAATGTCTGGATGGATGGATGTTCCTTACTTGGTGTAAAATCCGACCCAGTTTAGTTGGATACAAAGTTATTCCAGTGGTACCTTGTCTTGCAAGAAAAATTCCTTCAGTGACTAGGCTTGTTACTAAATTCACTCATACCGTAGCCTATGTCAAAGTCATAGTCCCCATTGAAATGTATTCAAACGGCAATTAATCTGTTTCAGTCCCCCAAAGAACACCACTATTTTTTCATGACGTTTTTAAGAAAGAAAAGACTTGTCACTTTAAAAATGCAGAATTTCGGGCACTTATAAATCAAGGTACAGTAAAACCGTATTGTGTTTAATGAAAGTTAAAAGGTGGATACACAGACTAATAGTATCCTCTACAACATGGGTCACCAACCTTTTTGAGAGTGACAGTCTCGGGCTATTGGTGACTAGTGACACTGGCGGGCTATTGGTGTGGTCCTCACGGGCTACCTGGTTCCTGCGGGCACCACGTTGGTGACAACAATCTATTGGAAGAGGATTTAGCTGTTGTTGCCTACCACTGTACTTTACTGGAATACAAAGATGGACAAAGAGAGATTATTTGTTCTTAATAAAAAATAATTATCATTCCAATGAAGTGAAACACCTACATACACACAAACATATTTTTCACATTCAGGTTTAATTTTTTTTCCATTGCCTTGCAAGTTTTATGCATGTCAGAAATATGCAGTTTTTGTACAAATTCAGAGGTGTACTTTCACCCCAAAATCTTGTGTTTACCTTCTGCCTTGTACCTCTCATTCAAGTAACACAGAAGGAATATACATTTTCTAATTCACTTTTCTGTCTTACTTCATATTAGCTATGTCTATGACTCGCTCTTCCTCCGTGACCTCCATCTCTCTGCTTGAGATTAAAGCTGAGAGCCGTCTTGTTCTCCAAGCTTTCCTCCATCGAACACTGTCTGTCCCATTTCTGGAGCGGCCGGGCAGAGTAGGAGGTGCTTACAAGGATGACAACAAGTACAGGTAATTTACTTGTCACTCAAGGTTACAATTGTACAATAGTACGAGGTTTGGTGTTGTTCCTTTGTGTCATCATTAGTGACAAAATAGTACAAGAAGACAGTATAACATATTTCTATGTATATTGTGCCGCCATAAAATTGTCCTTGAAAAGATGATTTTTGTTTGTGGTCTTGTACTATCCGCTCCACCCTATTTTATGTTTCTTGACCTTCTCTATCAGTAGCAAGAACTCCGGGCCGCAATCCGAGGGGGGGTACACTGACTGCTGCATTCGGTTGCTACAGTAACTTGCTTCTCTTAGTCTGGTGTCGTAAAAGGTGCGCAAGTACAAAGAAAATAGACGGTAAATGTTGTCACACACATTTAACTGGAGGCTTTATTCCATCCTCCAGCTTCATAAGTAACGTAATAGTGGCCCTTCCTTAGACATGCAAATGTGAGGGTACATTTGTCAAAGTATCATCTAGTTCAGGGGTCACCAGAGATGAAAGTCCTCCGTATTTTCCCGGAATTCCGGGTTTTTCACATTTTTATGAAAATCTCTTCGGAGAATTGAGGAAAATTTGCCTAAAATTAATCCGGATATTAGTTGACAACATTGAACGAAGACCTGTTTGAGTTCGTTGTTTTGCTTTCACGAGCGTAGCCATGTTGAGACACTAACACTAGTAACAGTAGAGATTTTCGTCTCTTTATCAACACATTTGCTAAACCCCAGTGGAACGAATAAAAGACACCTTGGACAAGACAGTTGTCGTAAAAAATATATTTGGACAAAAAGGGAAACAGATTGGCAGAAAAACGTGTCCGTCCGTCTGACCTCGAATGTCGTCTCGGCTAGCTTAGCTGTTGTTGTGTGTGACGTCGGTGCGTCGGCGCTCATTGGTTGAAATCAAAAGACGCGCTTGCACTGACGCACGCATAGTAGAGAGCAGCGGACTAGCTCGAGTTGCGTCGCCACAACAGTAATACCCTCGCCTCGCATTCTCATGGCCTCGCCATATCTCTGAGATTTCGAAATTTCGGCGAGAACGGAACAACGGGTGCATGAGCCAGATCACTTAACTTGATTTGCAGGCCCGAGCCCGAAGCAAACCCGAGATTTCATATTTTATTTGTGAGGACTCAGGAGGAGT